AAATTTAATTAATCTAATAGTGATAGTCACAACCATGCAGTTAATATTTTTAGTGTTAAAAAATGTATTTTTAGTCTTTTGTATTTTACTCAATCAAATATAATATTATAATCTTAATTTTAATAGAGTGATGAATTATCAGCTCAAAAGAAATTACGTTCTGAATTGATGAATTCTGAAGATGTCAATGCTCAGTTACGTAAAGAGTATGAAATGTTGCGTATCGAATTTGAACAAAATTTGGCTGCTAATGAACAAACTGGACCCATAAATCGAGAAATGAGACATTTATTATCATCATTACAAAACCATAATAATCAGCTCAAGGGTGAATTGCATAGATATAAGCGTAAATATAAAGATGCCAATGCAGAAGTACCAAAAGTAAAAATTCATTTATTGCTTTATATTTTATTTAGAATTAGTAATCATGCATTTTTAGCTACTTGTTTTTTTAAAGAGGTTGGTAAATTATTGCGTTAAGGTGATAGGATTGTGTGAAATCTAAGAGTTTTTTACTTTAGTTCTAATTATATTAAAAATTAATTATACATAGCATTATGGTTAGCCTTTACATCATGTAATAATAATTATTAAATATAAAAATAGTGTTATGGCACAGTGTGTCAAACAAAAATTGAATACATATGAGTAAAAATATATAAAAATATTTATCTACTAAATATTAATATAGATATCATTCCTAAGTTATATTTTACATAAAGTATTTGAATACACCATGTTATGTTTAGAATAAAGTATATAAATGTATTTTGTTAAAAACTGTAATTATGTTTTATTTTTACAGTTAAAAAAAGAACTAGAAGATATCAAGCTAAAATTAGGTCAACAAATTATAGCCCCTGTACTAGATTCAAAAGAAGGATTATTAGAATCTTGTAAAGAAGATGAATGTGGAGTAAATGAAAATATTAAAGAAGAATTTTCATTATCTCAAGTTATCATGAAAAAAGAAGAAGATATAGAAGTAAATTATTCAATTAAATAATTTGTGTATATCTATTATATCTATTTAATTTTTAAGGGTATATCTCAGCTAATAGATGAAAATGTTCAAGTCGATGAAAAAATTGATGTCAAAAATGTTAAAAAAGAACAGTTAAAAGATGGACAACAAACACCTAGTAAAACAACAACAGGTCCAGCTACTACTCCAGATCAAAAAACTGTTAACCAAAAAGATGTCATTAGGAATTGGGAAAGTGAAGCTCTCAGAGATTTAAAAACACAACTTAAGTAAATATATGATATAATTTTAAAAAATAAGTTATTACTAAGTTGTCTGCCCTGTAGAATCTTTTAAAACATTATTACTTTTGTATTATTTTTATAAAATATTTTTATTTTTATTTTTTTTTTGTTGTATATTCACTATATTAAGTTAAGTAGCTAGTACTTAACAACAAATATATTAGAATAATGTATTTATATTTCAGAAAAGCTGTAAATGATCAAAAAGAAATGAAATTATTATTAGACATGTATAAAGGAGTTAGCAAAGATCAAAGAGACAAGGTTCAATTAATGGCAGCTGAAAAAAAACTTAGAGCAGAACTTGAAGAAGCAAAACAAGCCTTAAAAAAAATACAAGTAAAACACTTCAAATTTTTTTTTTTTTTGTTAATATAACTAAACATTTTTTTTTACTTTAGGAAGGCAAACGTGAAGAACGCAAGAAACTAGCTGATGAAGATGCCTTACGAAAAATTAAACAATTGGAAGAACATATTGTTCAACTTCAAAAACAAGTTGCTACTCATAAACAAGTAGGTTTTAATTTTTAATTATTAAATATTATTATAAAGAAAAATATTAATTCATTTTTTTTTTTAAGGAAGAAGAAGCAATGCTTAGTGAAATGGAAGTAACAGGTCAAGCATTTGAAGATATGCAAGAACAAAACTCAAGATTAATTCAGCAATTACGTGAAAAGGATGATGCTAATTTTAAATTAATGACAGAACGTATAAAATCTAATCAATTACATAAATTAGCTCGTGAAGAAACTGATACTCTCAAAGAATTGGTTAGTTTCAACTTGTTATAGATTATGTATATAAATTAAATATATTTTGTAATTAAAAATTTAGATTAAAACTTTAACAAATCAAGTAGAAATGACAAATACAGTAGTTCGAAAACTAGAAGAAAAAGAGCGTATTTTACAAAATTCTTTAGCAACAGTTGAAAAAGAATGTTCAATTAGACAGCAGGCTATGGAAATGCACAAACGAAAAGCAATTGAAAGTGCTCAGTCTGCTGCAGATTTAAAATTACATCTTGGTAATTAATATTTTATTTAATATATATATAATGTATAATACAATATCTTATTTAATATTTTTTAATAATTTTAAAGATAAATATCATGCACAAATGAAAGAAGCACAGCAAGTAGTAACAGAAAAAACCAGTGCCTTAGAAGCTGAAGCATACAAAACCAAAAGACTTCAGGTAAATGTCATATTAAAATGAGGTTTTACCTACATGGGTTCTTTTATATTAAACTAAACTATTGTTATTAAATGACAAATGTAAGAGTAAAAATATTATTTAGAGCTTATATTCTATACAGTTGTTTTTATATTTTAATTTTAAAACAATTCATGACCATTTTCAAATTTTAATTAAATTTTTAAATGCTTAAAATTTAAAACAACAGATAATACCTATGTGTGCTTCAGATAATATTATCATTGAATTTGATCATCAATTTATTTACACTAATTAAAACAACATAGTTAAATTAATTATTCTGAATTTAAAATTTTGTATTGATAAAATTGAGACAATTACTTTTTTTTTTTTTGTTTATTCAAGATGATGTAGATCTTAACTAAACTAGTTATAACTATTTTCAGCTTGAATAAATTGTACTATTTTTATTTTTAAAAACAGTTACATAATTGGGATACTAAAGTCTATTTTTTAATGTCATGTACAATTTCTAATTTATTTTGTAGATATCTTTATTACTATAAAACTAAATTTTATTGTAAACATTACAGGAAGAAATAGTACAATTAAGGCGGAAAACTGAACGTATGAAAAAAATTGAACAAGCTGGTACATTAGATGAAGTTATGATGGAAGAAATTAGAGAATATAAAGAAACACTTACCTGTCCATCATGTAAAGTTAAACGAAAAGATGCAGTACTAACTAAATGTTTTCATGTATTTTGTTGGGATTGTTTACGTACTCGTTATGAGACAAGACAAAGAAAATGTCCCAAATGCAATGCAACATTTGGAGCTAATGACTACCATAGGCTTTATCTTGGGTCATAATTATTTTTGAAAGTTATTACTTATTAGTAAGGTATGTAACCATTGGTATCTTGTAACTTAATTGTTTTGTCGTTTTGCAGTCCTATTTTTTTAAATATATTATGATGATTGTTCCAAGATTTTTCTAGATTATTTTAGTTCAATATTATTCCTAATTGAAAGTTTTTTGACTATATTTATTATATTTAAGAAACTAGAATTAAATGTATATTTTTAAATGTGTTACAATTAAAAAAAAAATAATAATAAAAATAATAGAATCTTTAAATATTTATTGGATTTTACATAGTATAATAAAATTACAAATAAATACATGTATTGATGGTTTTTTTTCTTATGATTGACAACTTTAGTTTGTATTATACATGTTAAATGCTATTGTAAAAAACATCCAAATATTTAAAATTATTATGTCTTATCCTAAAACTGTGTATTAATATATTGTAAATTATTGACGATAAAAAATAATTTGTTTCAAAACAAAAAGACTGAAATAAATTAACATTTTTTTACATTACCAATCAAAATGAACATATTGTAGTTATATGTCATTCAATATAAAGTGCAACAGTACTTTTCGTAATGGTAAGCATTGTTTATATTATTAAATTGGTTGTTTAACATATTAAAATTAATAATTGTAATAAATTGCAGCGTATGTCTAATTATTAAAGTATTTACTTTTTAATCATTTACCTATTATAATATAGTTAGTAAAAATTTTAAATATTATTCTACTTGAACCTTAAAACAACATTAGCAAAAATTAAGTTGTATTCTATTTGCAAGTAAAAAATAGAAATCATAATATTGTTATATGTAAATAAGTTTGCCTAAGTATTTATTAAATATAATATTTATATATATAGATCATATTGTTTTTTTGTGTATGATTAGAACTCATTGTCTTTAAATGTGTAATACTACCCAATTTTAAGTATACAGTATTTCTCAATTGTTTAGTTGCTCGGTGACTAACATTCCACCCATGAATGATTGACTAAAAAGCAATGTGTATATAATATCTGTAGGTATTTGTTGATACACATCAAATTTGTAATTTTGATAACAAATACAATTTTTTTTAGTGTGTAGTTTCAGTTTCCTTAAAAGAAGTATAGTCATGCAAATTGGTTAATGTAGCTTAAGTGTTATGGCAACATTTTAACTTTGTTACTGACAATAAAACTATAATGCCATGAGATTGTTTCAAAATATTTAAAAAATTAATTACTGGAAAAATGATCCAACACTACTTAAAGAAATTTCACTAACCTAAAATATTTAATATCACTGAATACCAATATTTTTTGTTTTTTAAAATTAAATTATTCCACTGTAACGTACAATTTACTAATAGCAAATTGAGTTTAATTTGGTCCAAAGGAAGGATGAGATCACAATTTAGGAAGATATATTTAATAGAGAATTTGAAAAATTTATTAAGCATATTTGTAATATTAAAGTATTACGTTTGACACTGATCACATTTATTACTTAACATTTTTTTTTTTAATATTCTACTTATGAAATAAATTTAAAAAAAAGTAAAAATAAATTATACAATATTTGGTAATAAAAATGATTCAATCTGTCATAAATTATATTATTAATAATAGATATTAGTATATTGCATAATGAATACACAAATATAAATATTTGTTAAACCATATTTTACAATTTTGATATTATGGTAATTATTAATATACATTGTTTCAAATGGAAATTGTATTTTGACAATTCAATCCTTATTTTCTAAATATTGTAGACTTCAATCAGACATGACATTTTATATAGGCTAACATGATTCAGTATACCAGATTTTCGTTCAATGACTGAAAGGTTTTTTTTTTTTAACTGAAAGTAAAACAAAAATTAATTGCATCAATTAAAATATATTGGTGTTTCTTATGGGTTACGCCATAACTAATTTAAATTTAAATATTTTTAATAATTTAAAAATTAATAAGATTTTTTATGAATAATTGATTAATTATATGTAATAAGTTTAATGATAATCAATAAACGCAATGGGTTCATTTTTTATTCAAAATCTAATAATAATTTCAAATTTTACTTATAAATACTACATGACAATATAATAATTATTACAAAATAATTAAAATTTATAATATTATTATACAATGAAACCTACATATTCATTCTCAATTCAAATATATCTAAACTAATATGTTTTAGCAAAACTATTATTTATGCGGTTTACCTTCTTAATATAAAAAAATTAATTTAACTTTAAATTTACAGTAAAACATAAATTAATGGAGATTTAACTTATTTAATGTATTGCAGATATATTAAAAATGACTATGGTAAAATATTTCTTATTTCACTTTACATACAAACATTTTAAATATTATTTTCCTATATCACATTTAATTATTTTTTCTGGGGCTGAAAATTAGTTATTTAATTGTATTCATTGAATAAAAAAAAATATTTAATAAGAAAGGTTCATTTAAAAATTCAAAAATGTTTACATTTATTAAATAGAGAATTACAATATTTCAAATATAATTATTTACGGTAACGCATTGGTGCTGGTCTTCTCATAAAACGTTCTGGAGGAGTTATGCAAACATCTAAATAATCACCAATTGTAAATCTGTAACATAATTATTAAATAACCAATATATTGCTAAATCAAAAAAAAACTTTATAATTAAACAGTTAGACAGTTATCATTATTAGTACTCAATAGACATCAGAATTGACAACAAATGCTTTTTCAAAAAAAAAAAATTGTTTAAAAGATGATTTTTGAATATAAATGTATTCAATTTTATTAATATCCTAATAGAGTAAGCTTAATTTTGCTTTTTTTCCTTATAAACTCTTTTTTTTGTTGATATTTTATGTTAAATTATTAATTAATTAAAACTGCTTTGTACATATTTACGGATAAGAGTTTGTGAAACGTCAAGTATTCAATATATTTTAATTAATTTATTAGAAAGTACCCACGTGTGTTAGTATTTTTAGGGGTCATTGAAGTTTTTAGAAACACAGTTTGTAAAAATAGCAAAATATATACATATAATTTTTATTTTTGACATAATTAAATGGACTACTACATATAAAGCCTATAATATTTAACATATTATAATTAAAGTCCAGAGACAAGTTTTTACAGTCATACCAACTAAAGAAAATGATTCAAAAATAAAATATTTAGTGCATGTACGTTGCAATTGTGATTTCAAAATCTTTGGACTGCAAATTTGAAGGTTTTATAGTCCTTGATTAAAAAATATGATAACCCCTGTTTAAATGCTTTAAAAATATACATTAACTATAACTTTTATATACCTTGTATTCCCTAATGTTTTTGAATCATCTGGAGATCTATTTCCAGCAACAGTAAGTCCAATTTCATATGCATTAAATCTTGGGCAATTATATTCTGGTGATACAAGAACAAAATCGAAAGTTGTTCCACGGACTCGAGATTCAATGTTTACCTCTTTGATCAAACCAGTCAATTCACGTAGTGTAGCATCCATCCTAAAAGTAAATAAAAATGTTTATTGTTTAATATCTGTGCGAATTAAGATGTAAGCATTAGAACCTTATAGAAATGCAAGACTAGAAAGGGCAACCCCATATAGTTAAGAAAAATAAAAAAAACTTAGTTGTTACTCTAGGTCCTGGAGTCTATGGCCTAGGCAATATTTACCACGTATATATTTGAAGCTCATTGCCAGGTACAGCGCCACGATAGTATTCCGATAAATTATTATGATGTCCCATTGCACAAAACACTCTTAATAATAATGGGCAAGTCTGAAATAATAAAATATTTAAATTTATACTTACACCTTATAAGTAAATCAATATTATTTTAAGACTTAATATTAACCTTTTCTCTGTTAACAGGTTTTTCTTCAACTTTGACAAGTGATTCAACTGCTGCCATTTCTATTGAGTTCAATGTTAACTAAAGGATTAAAATGTCAAATGTTAATAAATATTTACTCGAAATTCTCAAAATACATTTAAAACACAACCGTTTAATAGTTAAAATGTGATCACGGCGATTACGCAAATTCGGTCTTTTTATTGACTTTGCATGGATATTGGATTCAGTAATATACGAACAGAGAATCTGATTCTAATCTATTAAATAGGTACAATTATTACAAAATACAAACATCAAACGATCAAACATAAAAACTTTTTGAGTACAGTGTTGCATTACAGTCAATATAAATAAAATAAATTAATATATCACAAAATAATAATTCCATAGCCAATATAAATATTTTATGATTGGCTAAACTGAATAAATTTAGTGAATTGATAGTGTAGATTGATACTTGATAGTGAGACTTGATTACCCGAGCCACCGCGTGTCCGCGTGGTTTAAACTTTTAACGATAACAATTGTTAATTTTTATTAATTGCTATTTAGAGTACAACTATACAACTATTACTTATACTTCCTTATCATTTAAATCCCTGTATTTTACTGAGTAGGGGTTACAAGTTTTGGTCTTTTACTTTCTTCAATTGAAACGACGTCATAGAAATAGCCACTGGAAAAATGTCTGATTCAGAGCATGAAAGTGAAGAAGAAATGGTCGTTGAAGATGAAAACTACGAAACCGGTGAATCATCCGGCATACCTAATAAAAGAGAACCTCGACAAGTTTACTTACCCGGTCATCAGATGCAAGAAGACGAATCATTGGTTTTTGATCCATCTGCTTACCACATGCTACATGATATTGATTCTGGTACATATTATCATCTGGGCATTAATTAATTTTTTAACCACTATTATGAAAGTTTAAATAACCTACTTTCCATGATAACCATTAGGTTTGCCATGCTTGAGCTTTGACGTGATCATTGACGACTTAGGTTATGGCCGTAGTGACTTTCCACACTCTATGTACTTGGTTGCTGGAAGCCAAGCAGAAAAAGCCAAAGATAATTGTGTGTTTGTTATGAAGGTAAGTACATACTTTTCTTAATAATTTTAAAACCCTATAATGTTAACACTTAGTCATGTTTAATTTATATATTAATATTTTGTTTAAAAATATTTTTTTAATACAGAATACTATTATTATTTGTTTTAGTTATCCAACTTAAATGCGATTAAAAATGAAGAAAGTAGTTCATCAGATGATTCAGATGTTGAGTCTGACAGTAGTGATGATGAATCTAAAGATCAACCTGTGTTACAGATATCTTCAATTCCTCATTTGGGCACTGTTAATCGAATTAGGGTAAATTACTCACATTTTTAAACATTTTAACATTTAAAGGCATGGATTGTGTAAATTAATAATTGTACTATAGATTATACACTATATTACTAGAATATAATACCATAGTATTAACTCTTTATAGTTAGCAAATATTTTTTCAAACTGTTACTAAGTATATTATAAGCATGATAGTTATTTGCCTATAACGAACAAATATAAAATTTATTTATTTAACACTTTAAGTAAACTTAAGTACATAACTTACTCCATTTCTCTATTTCTGCCATTATTGATATCCTTTATATTCTAATACTGTTACTCAAATGGTTTGACATATTCATATAGAATATCACTAACTTTCCTTTTAAATCACATTCTCTATAAAAAGTATAATATATTTATTATTTTTTATCGTAAATAGAATACTACAGTTGAAGACAAAGTATTTGCAGCTGTATGGTCAGAAAAAGGTATTGTTAATATTTACGATTTAAATAGTAAATTGAAAGAAGTCGAAAAAGCTAATAGAAATCGTAAAATTGGAAGTGAAGAGAAGAAAAAAAAATTTGGTAAAGCTGCTCCTAAGAGATTAATAGCTGAACATAAACCTTTATATTCATACTCTGGACATAGAGACGAAGGTTTTGCTTTAGATTGGTCTTCCAAATCTCCAGGTATTAATTAAATTTTTATTTTTGCTAATATAAAATGAATACTAATTTTTTTTTTTATTGTTACAGGATTTTTAGCCAGTGGTGATTGCAAAGGAAATATTCATACATGGAAACCGAGTGACAGTGGTTGGGTTGTTAATTTACATTCATTAGGTGGGCATAAAGAGTCTGTTGAAGATTTACAATGGTCTCCAAATGAAGTTAATGTGCTTGCTTCTTGTTCTGTAGACAGATCGTAAGTAAATATATTATATTTTATATAAACAACGATATACATTTTTCTACAGTTTGATATATTTTTTTTTGTTATTTTAACAGACTAAGAATATGGGATACTCGGTTAGCACCAAACAAAGCCAATATGTTGACAATTGCTGATGCTCATGATAACGACATAAATGTCATAAATTGGAACAAAAAAGAACCATTAATTGTTTCTGGTGGTGATGATGGAAAACTTATGATTTGGGATTTGAGACAATTTAAAGTATACATTTTTATATTTAATATGACACATTAGTAATATTATTCTATTAGTAAATCATTAAATTAGAAAGGTAAGGAACTAGCTGTATTCAAACACCACACTAGTGCCATAACAACAGTCGAATGGAGTCCAGATGATAGTTCTGTGTTTGCTTCTGCGGGTGATGATGATCAAATAGCAATTTGGGATTTAGCTGTTGAAAGAGATACTACTAATGACCAAGATGATATAAAAGTATAGTATTTAAATTAATTAAAAATGAATATATTTTATATTGAACATTTAGTCACAGTTATACTTATAAGTTATATTATATAAGTGTGCTGGTCTTGTAAACAGGTATTGTTATTCTTTTAAAAGAGACCTGTAAATCTATAGTATTCCACAATATTTGACCTATTTAATTTAAAAAAAATGTTTAGTAGCCATGTTACTATACATACTCATTTAAATACCAAATATAATAATATATTCTATTTTGTTTTTATTCATAAAAACATAATTTTTTGATTTTTATGCAGGGTGTTTCATAGTGAACTGACAATTGCAATAACTGTTGTTTTATTGAACATTTTAAACTTTTTTTTCTTTTTAATTATCATTTCTCATATGGGATACATTTAAATTAATTTTTCGATTTTTTTTTTTTCAAAATTGTGTAATATGTAAAATTAAGAAATTAAAAAATTTTCTAATTGATATTTAAAAAAATAAAAAATGTTCAGCCGTTTATTTTCTTCAATTTTTTTGAAGTTTGCACAATTTTACATTATTTCAAATAGATTTTCTTGATAATCGATAATAGTTGTAACACTGATATACTAGAAATAAATTTGAATTTAAGCTAACTTTAAAAACTGAGTAGCATAATAGGGTATATCTGGCAATATAACTTTATTGTAGCCTTAATATCCAAAGGTCTGTTGTCAGTTGATTAAGAGCAAAGAAAAGACTTTTTAGAATACTGAGGGAAATGCAGGGCCATTTAAATTTTTTGCTTTTGATGTTAAATTTTTTATTTATACCCTTGATTAGAATAATAATATATATTAAAAACTTATAATCTTCTTTCCTATATTATCACTTATAACATTTTATAATTATATAGGTAAACAAGTTTTAGGCCTTAGTATTTCTGAGTTATTAAATTTTAGAAATTAATAACTATAATTGATAGAATAATCCCTGAATACCTCTAGAAGTGATTTACATTAAAAATCTATTTAACTAATTATTTGTCAGATTTTACTATGATTTATATTTGTTGTAATAAATATTCAATTATTTTATTTAGGAAATTCCACCACAACTTTTGTTTATTCACCAAGGACAAGAGCACATCAAAGAACTTCATTGGCATCCTCAAATTACTGGAGTTCTTATAAGTACTGCACAAACAGGTTTCAATGTTTTCAGAACCATAAGTATATAAAACAAATTTTAATAGTTAAAAATATATTTAGTAGTATTTGCTACTATTTTACAGTTATGTTTTTTTTAATATACAATATACACAATACACACAATTTATATTTATAACAATATATATATATTTTATTTTTTTTTGGAATGATTCTGTTTCTTTATTTGATGGTTAATGTGTTATCCTTTTTTACACTACAATGGTTCATGTAAGCTAAAAATGAACTCCAAGCTAAACTGCATAAGCTAACAAATGGAATCCTATTTTTTTCTGGAATCATTGTATAATTGAACACTTGCAGTAATGGCCAAACTGCTACACCAACCTGTTTATTAAAATAGACAAAATAAATCAATTTTTAAAATAAGACAACTGAACCATAAAAAAGTAATGAAAAAATTAGTTCATTCATTAAAAATAACAAATATATTTAAACAATTGGTAACTAATAACTAATTTAAATTAAATTTATGATTCTATAATGAAATAACTAAAATTCTATTTTAATCACTATTTGTCTATTTTTGATATCTTATATTATACAGAATTTTGTTATATCTAGTGCATTTATTATCAATTATCAGTGTTATCTTTATTCATAAATAAATCTTGAATAATTTTTATATTATGGAGCTAAATTTTATATTGATTTTAATTAAGTCAGGAAAAGTAGCAACTTACCATTTCATTAAATGTTTATTAGATGTAAGATTTTATGTAGTAATTAAAATAAAATTGTACAACATAAATTATTTTAAGTGTATATATATTATATACATATTATTAAAGAGACCAGTAAATTGTTATGATATATGTTATATACTTATATATCTGTTTATAATAAGCCACAGAAAAATAATTGAAATTGGTTTCAAAATTATAAATTTTATAGCTATTATATTATCTACTATAATATTTATTCGTGTATATCAGTAGTAAAATGACAAAAATTGTATTTTAGGTTACTAAAATATATAATATATAGATAATATAGAAACGCCTTCTCATAACTTCAAACTAGTATTAATACTATTTTCAATAACTTAATGTTTTTATGATTAATTAAAAAAATTCCTCAAAATGTATCTCTAATTTTTATAAACACTTATCTTAATTTTTTTCTTATTTATGATATTTTAACCTTTTTAACTAAAATTTGATTGTTTTGGTTCCTATTATATTATTGGTAGTTATTAACAAATATCAAATTTATACCTGGTATGTTGGTAAAAACTTTTTTTCTACTTCTTTTTTTGCTTCCTCGACCGTCTTCCCTTCCAGTAAAGACATACCAAAATAAAAGCTCACCATTGCGCACGGTGAGTACGTTACTTGCTCCAAAAGTGCCTGATAAATATTAATTTCAATATTATTTGTTTGGTGTTTAATCTTGTTAGCTCACTTTTATGATTGCGCTACGGAGATCATTCTTTGGATATAAGTAACGTGCAACAGTTAGCCATGCATTTAAAGTCGGGGCCACATAAAATGCTCCAAACAGTCCAAACCGAGCTGCCCTGGCGAAGTCAAATTTGTCATCTCCAAAAGCTAATTGCTGTAATAGACATCCGGTTGGCCATATTACTGCATACGAAGCCATTCCCCTGGTAACTGGGTAGGCGATTGAAAACTTTACTATTCGGGCGAAGACGGTCGTCATTTTTGAAGATTATTGTTTCGCGCAGGACCTACAACAATGTTGTGAGCTGTTGTGACTGCATGTCAGTTAGGAGGCTCTCATTATTTTTATGTGTTTTATTATTTATAGATATGATGGCAGTTGCCAATTTTAAAATTGGGTGATCTTGAACAAACCTTGATACTGGCCATTGCCAAAATTGTATGTACCTATATATGATATATCTATATGAGTATTATTATATAAATTATAGATACATGTAATTACCTATTGATTATTTATTTTTAATTCGAAAAATGGAAAAATTATACATGAAAAAACGTAAAATATTAATCAGGTACTACGATTCTATGCATAAAATAATATAATATCCTTTTTTTTATTTTTATTTTAATCATAATATACACATGGTGGCACAATAAGTATGAGTAGGTATCTATTATAAGATTAATAACAAAAGACATGTACATATTATTTTGTTGATGTAACCATCCGGAACTTCAGTCACAATATAATATTAATTAAAAATCAACGTTTACTAAAAGCATATGTTTATCATAATTAAAACTAACATTATCTACATTTTAAGTTTTTATTAATTTAAACAAACTCTTGGTAGCACAGGTCATTAGGATTTACAAAAGAAATTTTCCGTTTATACTTTTGATATACAACCTTGTACAATAATTAATTAATTATTTTTATAGTTTTTTTATAAGTTTTGACGAGAATATGTAATCGACTATTGAATTAGTGGGAGTAATCGAATTGGTTCCCGTTTAAAAAGGGTATTTTATTAAGTTGAGCCGAATTAATTCCCGTTTAAAAAAGATGTTTTATTAGGTTGAGCCGAATTGGTTTCCGTTTACCTATTGGAAGTTTAGCAAATTATCGGTTATATCCCAATCAATTAAGATACCGATTGAGATAAAATAATATGTACTTTTATTGCTGTATAGTATATCGTCTAAATTTATAACCCATGTACGAATGACAATTAATGTTAGTGAGCAGTGAGCACTGTACAGTCTCGAATAACACATCGTATAAATTTGTAATTTGTAATTCGTTTTTTAATTTTAATTTTTCATAATTATGAAGTTTATGTTTAGTGAAAAGAAAACCAAGTTGTTGATTATTGACAATTACAAGTTTGGATTCCAAAAGAACCTAGGAGTATTTTGTACCTACTCCTAGCGATGACTATAGTTTATTTCCAAATCAACGATTTAAAATTGTATATATTATATAATTTTTTTAGTTAGCAGTCCTAAGCCTGTAAAATTGAAAAGGAAAATGTGCGTAATTAAACAGGAACCAATTCGGCTCAACTTAATAAAATACCTTTTTTGAACTGGAACCATTTCGGCACGTGGGGTTGGAGCTCGGGAACTAATTCAGTACCAGCCGAATTAGTAGTCAATAGAATTTCTAAGTGATGTGAAAATGTATTCTAAAAAGTAGGTTAGCCTTTTCCTTTAACTTCTTCTACGCGAGGCATTTCATTAGTACCTAGCAATGTGACAAATAGTCGGTTGGTACTAAGTAAGAAAAGATAATTGGTGGGTATTCTTTGTTCATTAGAAAACTGTGATGTTTGTAAATGGTCAATACAAAGCTTGTTTATTACTATCTCAAGTTTCCTTGGTATATCCAGTGGATGTAACCAAGGTTTAAGTTGTTATAACTTATGATCTAAATATATGTAATGTATCAATAATCAATATCATTATAGTCATTATAGTCATTAGTTAAAATCAAATACTTAATATAAGTATTATATTTATAAATCATACTTATGTTATGAATGGTATTTTACCCGTTTCGACAGACTTACCCAGATCTAGCCGAAACTCAAAACGAACAAAATTATCAACACCATTTTCTTTCCATTCTTTTATTAAATTTTAAGTACTATTTATACTTACAATAAATCATTATTGATGTTATCAGAATTAAAACTAGACTAGTTTTTAATTTATCGATAAATTTTAAAATAAAATTAAAAGTACAATAATATAGATAGCTACTATTGTAGCACAATATTAGGGAGCTTATTTTATTTGCAAAAAGTTTAAATTCGTATTAAATGAAAAAATGTATATAGGAAGTGTTTACTACTCGATGAATCATCCTATAATATATGTTGGTTACCTTAACTTCAAATTTCCATTTTCGGTAAAAAACATCATGTCATCACTATGCTTTAAAACTCTGACGTATTTTGATCCTTGAGATAAATATACACCTAGTACTAGGTAATAGACAATAGTACTTGAAGTACTTCTAATCTATTAATATCTTTTGGAATCAAGATTATTATTTATTGGTAAAAACTAAAATACTACCTACATAAGACCTCTTGACCGACCTATAGATACACAATCTTCGTTAAAAATAAGAAAATATAAAGTTTTATAAATTTATAGTTATAAAGTTAATTTTAAATGAAAATTTGGCATTATATTAGCCATAATAAAATAACACAATAAATTATTTCAAAACCAAATATACGTATGTTTTAATATTTGCCAATATTAAACAATTTTAACGAATAGTGTGCCAAAAAAGAATTTACAATTCAATTTTTGTCTATTAAATTTACCAATAGTTTACGCTTTTAATAAAATAATAATTTGCTAATAGATAATAAATTTAGGGCACGGATGTTGTTGCATTTGTAATTTTTTTTCTACTTTTCCAATTAATTGCTAAGCAAGTTTAAAATACGTGTAATGTAAATACGAACTAAAATCTAAAAGTGTTAAGTGTACTTTTCTGCAATTTTTAGAATTTTTATTAAATTTACTCATTTATAAGACAATTTTAACAATTTTTTTTAAGTTTTTTCATATAATTTCACTTATTTAATACTTTTTAAACGGTTTTATAAAAATTCTTAGAGAATTTACATAAAAATTGACAGTAAGCGATTTAGTTTATTTTAAGTAGGTACGCTCCGCTAATATCAACCAACGTAGAACGAAGCTTTTCAAGGTACAAAAACTTACTGACTCCAAACCGAAGGACATTGGATTTATACTTATGGTTCAACGGAACAACATTTTTTATGTAATATTATTTAATTTCCAATTTTTTTTACAAATGAGTAAGTGATATATAATATATAAAATAAGTTAATGAATTAATGATAGATAAAAATAAACGTAAATATATGAATTTTGATAAAACGTTATTTTTTAGTACAATTTTTAATATTTTCAGGGCAATTTTTGGTATATTTTAGTGCAATATACATTTTACTAGTTTTTTAGTACTACAATCTCGGTGCCCTATATAATAATAGTAATAATATTATATTATAACAATATTAACAATAATTATTATAACCATAACTTGACCTTACCCACCACTGATTACCGAGGATGATTCAAAGTATCAACGAAGTTGTAGAAACTTATTAGTTATCGTTATTTTTATTTAGGTACCTACCTGTAAAATTGTGTCTATAAATTTGGAGAAACAGAATTTGTAGATTTTCAATAGGAAGAGAAATAAAAATCAAATTTAGCCAAGGGAATTAATTAAACATGTTATATTTATTAGTTGTTTGTACTTTTGTACTATACATAAAAATTTAAAATTATAATTGAGTAATTTTCAATAAAATATAATTACATCTATTTGGGCAAAATATTTCCTTTATCTTGGTTTTTAATTGTAAAAACTAGAGGAAATTAAATCATTTTTCTTTTATTTGAAATGTTCTTGGTTTAAAATCTATTAAATTAAATCTATAAGGAGTTTAACAAGTAATGGCTATACATATAATACGTAGAGTATTTTGTTAAAATATTATTGTAGGTACAAATCTTTAAACAATTCAAACCAGGACTTAAAATTTTCTATTTTTTGTACTACACTCATATTTTAATTAAATGTTTATATCAAGTGATATAAAATGAATAGTAATAGTATAGAAAAAAAACATTGTTGTTTGTACATGTTTTTGAATTTTGTAGTACAAATTTCATTTTTTGTACTACACAAAATGTGTTGTAGTACATACAATTTTAGGGCCTAGTTCAAATATTATTGGATGAAAACATTGGAAACGTTTTAGATTCATTTAGAAATATATTACTTATTATTTGCAATAATTATTATTACAATAAGATTTATTAGGTTGTAGCAAAAATAATAAAAACATACCTATATTAATTTCGTATACCTATTAATCATTTTTTTTTTTTTAACATTTATATAGTGTAGCGTGCGTCTTAGTGCTCATCAATCTACTAAATTCATGTCTGGAAATGATTGTTAAGTCAGTTAGGTTTAAATAGTAGTTAAAATATGTTGCTTATTTAATATAGCACAAGTAAGTTACATAAAGTATACAAATTGTGTGGTATGAAAGTTTCAAGCAGCCATCGGCTAGGTCCTACAGACTACATCTGCTGATGTTCTGTTCTCTCTGACCATATGTCATGATGTGTTTTTATATTTTTTACTTTAATTAAATACTTTATAATTTAAATATGTTTTAATTACATTTACTTTTACGCTCTCTAATAATATTCATGAGGTGTTGTAAATATAATAAAATATTTATTATATAATACATTTAATATGTATATTGTATAATTTTTTTGAATAAAAATAAATAAATACAAATTTTACACATTACACAAATCAAATTATATATACTCTGTGCCTTAAAAGAATATAAATGGCAGCCAATCAAAACTAGTCTTTTGTTGCACACTCTTACATAAAACAGTTGCCACATGATAGAGTAATTTAATATGTATTATGTCATTTATAATATTTATATGAGCGAGCCATAGACATTCTCTTGTTATATAAAGTATAGTATATTAACTAGATTAAACATTAAAAAAAAAATCACTTAAAATAAGTTGATATAAAAAATAAAATATATCCATAATATTATATCAAATAGTTTTCAAAAAAATAAAAATACATACATTAACATACCGTGTATAAATAATTAAATAACTAGGTTAAAAGTTTAAAAATAATTCAATATATAATTCATATTCATAAAAATGTTGCAATACATACAACATACAACATTTAGAAGAAAAGATAACTGCAAAGTTCATCAAATTTTTCGGTGTTTGCCAATAAAATTTTATTTGCTTTTAATGAATTTAAAGTATTACCTAACAACCAAGCACATTCATCTCTTAAATCAATTTCTCTATTATTAATTAAAATATCTCTTATAATAAGTCCTTGTTCATGTAATAATCCCACAAGAAATAAGCTTACGGAACGATTAGTTGAATCCTTAGCTATAATATTACCAAATGTTCTTAAAATAGGCACCAAACATTCTATATCAATGATATCTTCAGTTAAGGCATGAAATAAACGTCTCATACATTGAGAATTTATCAAATCAGTGTCTTGACGGCAAGAAATTTGATACACTATCCAAAATGAAAATTTCCATGTAGTCAATCGCTTATAACATACATATAGCAATTTGTTTAAATCATCAATCCTAATAATATAAACATAAATAGTTTTATACAATATATTATACATTATACTTCTTAATTTTTAAATAAATTTTTCTTACGGTAAATCGTATAGGTAGTTTTTAAGAAAAAGTTTCAAGGCATAAAAAGTATCAAAAATGACTTGATCACAAGTTGAATTTTCTAAGCGATCAATCAGTGCGCCAAGTAAATTTTGATTTTGAAGTAATTTACATGCACCTGGACTAGAATCACTCAAATTCCCAAGCGTCCAGATAGACATAGCCTAAAAAATAAAACTATTTAATTAATAAATGTATAAACTCAACCTTAAAACAAACTATAAATTTAAAAAATATATTTATAATGGTAGGTACCTAAATGTATATTAATATTTATTTTTTAATTAACAGAAAGTTAATTAAATGCTATAAAATAAAAGTTAATGAACCAACCATGAACAGTAAACTTTCAATTATCTGTGGATAAGTTAATTTTGCAGTAAATCCTTAAGTAATTAAAGAAAAACACTAATTGAAATAAAAACGCTACAATTATATTAAAATAGTATTAAACATAACATATTATACTATTATTAAATTGTATAGATTACCTCCCTTTACAATGAATTTGTTTTAAGATCCTCTTTGTGTACATTATACATTTGTACATATTTACTCTAAAAATGTTATATGTAATTCCACAGACAACCGTTGCTCACAAATAATCAAGAGTTAACTAAATAATTGTTTAATAGTTAAAATGTAAATAATTAAGCATTAACTTACTGATATATTAAAATTCAAATGATTGATGTACATCATCAAGTATGGTGCAATTAATTTTGTCAATTTAAAACATACTTTTTTATCTCCTAAGCCCATGTTACAAAAACATTCAATTGCTGCTAACTGTATTTCTTCATTTTTACCTGAAATTAAATATAGCAATACTTAGTTGATGAATATAACTGAATTTATTAAAAAAATAATTATATTAATTTACTAGAGGCGAGACGAAGTAAGGAATCAACAGCCCCTTGAACATTATAAAACAGTGGAATAAATTCCAAGTAGTTCAAAAAACCATTTTCTAACAGTTTTAATTGTTTAACAGTAATTTGTTTTCCACGTTTAATTTCTAGAGCCATATTTTGCATGTCTTCAATAGTCAATTCTTTACTTAAATTGTCTTTTTCAACTACAACTCCTCGTCTCGAATCTAAAAGTGTTTGTTTGTTTTCCTCACGATGGACACCTATATCATAACGAATCTTCTCTTTTACTCGAGCTGTAGAGGCAGAATTCATGGCGACACAATATAATGAATAATGAAAAACAAATAAATTGAAAATCTAAACTGTCCGATTGTAGTTAGTTGATAGTTAATAATTATGATTTCAGCATGAAATTTGAATGTGAAATTGTAAATTTGTAAAGAATAATGATAACAGATAAAAATGAAAAATCATTCCCTTAGACCTAAAATAATATATCTATATATAAAAAAAGTCGGGCTCACGAAAAGTGAGCGCTGAGCAGATGAATCATAGAGTAGAATAGAGCAGCCGTATCCATAAATATTGAGGCGACCAATGGCTCTTTTTACAGTGTGACCATTTTTAGTGACACAAATTATGTAAAATATTGAGTTTATTTCATTGAGATTTAACTTTTAAATATATAATATTATATAGTATAAACATAATTTGAGCCTTAAAAATTAAGATCATAGAGACATAGAGTCAACATTATAAGTATTATTAGTTTAAGATTTATCAAGTATCAACTAATACTAGTATTAGTAGGCCGTATCTAAGTTCAAGTAAGTAAAAGTTGAAGTATATGGTATTGTAATTATATTATAGTATAAACGTTTCTTCATATATGACTGTATCTAAGTTAATGTTTCAACAATTTATTGGACTTAAACCTTTAGAAAAAGATATTTTAAAATTAAATATATTATCTTTATCCATCTCTTAAATTCTATAAACAATTATTAAAATTAAATAATAAACCATAACCACTTTATTACATTATATTAATTAATTTACTAAACTGAATTACTATTATTTATATTTAACTGTCATATATGTTATTTTTTATTGTATCTATTATATTGTTTTAATTTAAAGGTAACATTGTATTACTATGCTATGGTTGAGCCCTTTTGGGTGTTTATTCTAAAAAAACAAAAACAAAATAAATTAAATAATTAACAACAGAATTTTAATACTTAAACAAATTATTATACAAAATCATATTACATAGTTTATCTTTTTATAAACAAAATTAAAATTAAATATATAAATTATATTAAAATACCTTAAAATTATTAGGACTTAAAAATTATTTATATTGAAAGATTAGAATATAATTTTTTTATTTGTCTTTTTTATTACTGATCTTGGAAAAGAGTTTATTTGTTATACCACATTCTTATTGAAGGTTTTTCATTTAAAGCTTTAAGACTATGGTTAATTTTAATTTTGATATATGTTGTTGAAATAGATTTTATTAGAAGTGTAACATAATCAGACAATGGACTAGATGATTGTTTTCTACGAATATTTAAAAAACTGAATATATTTGTATTATGTAAAAAATGAAAAAGAACTTTTGACCGCTGCAGCGGTTTATATACTTACACGCTTGATTTTTTAATTTTATAACTGTTAGCTCCCTCAAAATTTTATAATTTTGTTCTCTAATGATATCGCGCTCAGGCTCAAGTATTAATTATACGACGTTGCGTGTTTAAATGTAGGTAGGTATAGTTGAATTTAAAAATTTCTGTATTTTAACATCACTCGATACCAGTTCTGTTTGTATTCTACGTCATACCTGGTCAATAGTCTTCCCTACACAATTTTTAAATCATTAGTACACAATCATTGAAATACAATATTTATAAATACCAAAAATCGCATTGTTTATAAGCTTTTTTTTTTAACATATTTATTTTAATTTGTACAATCTGTAACAGAAATATTTACAATAAGCACTATGGAGGGTTACAATAGGTCATGGTTGGCTTGGTTGAAGGAGCTATTCAATAATAGCACTTCATGGCGAGAAAGGTACTAGTAAATTAGTCCACTAAAAGATCACGGCACCAGCTACGTTTTAAACGACGGACAGGGTCGCCTGGAATTGTACGTGAAAAGAGGTCTTGGATGAGAGGGTTACGGCGATTAGCAAGTTTGAGGTGGAAACGCTTGTATTGGGTTTTGGCGATGTTTTTTACTATTGGAATGAGAAGGTCCCTGTGTAAGGTGTCATTCGACACATAAAAGGGGGCTTGGGTTATCTGTCGTAGGCATTTTGATTGGAAGGTTTGGATTCGGCTTATGTTAGAGTTTTTGGCTGATCCCCAGAGTTGAACTCCATAGGACTAGATAGGTTTACCTTATACATAAGGATTTTTTTTTATTTAATGAGACGTGATTGATTGGAAGAGAGGAAGAGGTGAAGCTATCTTTGGCGATTATTGAGTACTAGTCATTTGTTACGTATGTGGATAGCCCACGTGAGCCGGCGATCTAGGTATAAGCCTAGGTAACGCACATTTTGAGCGGTTGGGAGAGGTTGGTTATTAAGTGTGATAGAGGGGCAGCTTATTGGTCTGAGAGTGAATGTGCAGTGGATAGATTTAGATTCGTTGAGTTTGAATCCCCATTCTTTGTACCACGTCGAGAGTATGTCGAGGTGGGTTTGGATTCTGTTGGATGCCTCGAGAGGATCATGGTGGAGGGCCAGGATAGCTTTATCATCAGCGAAGTCATCAGTAGTGGTAAGGATGGTGGTGGATTGATCTGATGTGTACAGGTTGAACAAGAGAGGTGCCACTACAGCTCTTTGCAGTACTCCAACTCTAATTAATGATATGTCAGATAGGGTTGAGCCATATCGTACGGAGAAATGCCTGTCTTCTAGATACGATTTGAACATTAAGTAGAAGCTTGGAGGAAATATTGATTTTAATTTGAAAAAGAGGCCTTGATCGAACGCTTTAGCTACGTTTAAGAAGGCGTCTGTGCAGATTAATTTCTTTTCAAGTGAATATGAGATTTTGTCGACTATGCAATGAACCTGGTTAATGGTGGAATGATTGTTACGAAATCCGAATTGGTTGTCTGGAAGGTTTGTTTCAATGATTGGGAGTTTGAGTTTTTCAAATACTTTGGAGAAGAAAAGTAGGAGGCTAATTGGTCTGTACGAGCTGGGAGAGTCAGGAGGTTTCCCGGGTTTGAGTATCATAATTATGACCTAGAATTTCCAAAGCAAAGAAAAGTATGATAGTCTAAGCATGGAGTTATAAATGTGTGCGAGTGATAAAATGGCGTTTTCGGGCAGTTGGGAAGCGACTTCTGATGTAATGGGTCATATCCTGGAATTTTATGATGTGCAGATTTACTGATTATAAACTCGACTTCACTGGGTCTGGTATGTTTAGGTGGAAAGATCAGAGGTAGTGGACTGGATAGGAAGTGATTGATTTCAACTATTTTGTGGTGAGATATGATGTCAATTTGTGGTTGGAACGTTGAATGTAAATGATGACGAAAGGCGTTCGCTTTTTCTGAGTCGCTGATCAGCCATGTACCGTCAGGGTTTCAGAGGGGGTACTGGATGTTGAGAGCGAAGAATTTTCCTGGTATTTTGCCAAAGAGAGTTGTTGGTGGTGTATAGGGATGCGAGATCGTTTGTTAAATTATCGGATTTTGTTTTAGCTAAGATTCTTTTGAGTTTATTGGTTAGGTGGTTAAATAGTCGTTTGTCAGAAGGATATTTAGTTCTTTGCCATACAGCACGGGCTTTCCTTTTTTCCGATATTAGAGTTCTTGTTCATAAGCTTAAAGAAATCTTTTACAAAATCGTTTTAAAGTTTTCTTCCTTATTTCCGTGTTTAATTAAAATAATTCGGCTAACCTTGTTGACTAATTGAATTGTATGACTCTATGTTTATGGTTATTGCTAGCCATTTCATTCTATTGTACTCGCGGCGGCCGTAATTACCAGTCCGGCACCTTGTTGGCAGTCGTGTAATATGAATTGTTGCGAGCCGGCGCACGGCCGCCAAGAGAATTGCTGCGCCCTGACGTAACGGAACGTGTCTGCACGCAGTTGACGCTGCCGAGCATCACGACGGGCCCATACGTCTGTTTTTTTAAATGGTTGAGCGTTACGGCCGAGTAATGCGCTGGTCTTGGAGACGAGTAACCTACCACGCCACTTCCGGTCTGCGTTCTGATCGGTCGACCGTCCCGAGATCGTGTACATGGGCGCGGACGGAACGTCCAGCGTCTAGTTCCCGGTGGTTATGGTCAATGAGTAAGTGTTCAGTGCCGGTATGCGCGTGGACTTTCTCAGACGACAGACAGTACCATCTCGTCCTGTTTAATGTTCGTGAACGATGCATCGAGTTAAAAGAGTATACGACACATTGACACTACGATTACCGATATTTTTGCTTTTGTACACGTCATGTATACGAAAACATTGTTACAGTTTAAAATATCGAGCGTATAGTTCTTTAGGTATTTAAGTACTTAGACCAGGGCGAGTTTTCAAAGTTTAATACCCAGCCCTTCAATGTCTAAGTCATACTTGTAAATTCTCGAACTGGACATGCAAATTCTGGCAACCTTCATGCTAAATCTGAGCATAGTTTTTAAAATGTTTGAATAAAGTTGAAGGGTCAACTTCACAAACGTATCAATAGCAACAATAAAACAGAAAATTACGAATACTACGCGATGTCCAGAAAAGTTTTTACAGTACTCACACAAGTGAAATCGAAAAAAAATTGTATCTGTAGGTAACTCACGCAATTAATTCCGGTTTATCTTTAATGACGACTAAAAAACAAGTAATTGAATAGAATTTTTGTAATAAAAAAATATACATACACACAGACTTATTTCGAATTATTTTTTTATCGTTCACTTTAAAGCGATTTATACATCATTAAATGTGTATTAATGATTTATAGAGATTTCAAAAAAAATAAAAATCACAGAAATCACTCATTAGCTATTTTAGTAACCTATTATTATTACGGTACATATAAAGTACCTATTGACAGTTATAGTAGTAGTATTATATTAAAAATTAAATAATATATTAATTATTTAATAAAGTGATTTTCTTAGTCAAAAAACAGTTTAAGATACTTCATATTTATTTTCACGATTTCATTACTAGCGATTAAAGATCTAAGTAGAAAAAAATTAACTGTGGAATAATGTCAATAACGACAATAACACAATTACTGAAATACTGAAATTGAAATATATAGTTTGTTGCACATATAAACCATATAGCTGGCATAATAATTATATTTAAAGTATGCATTTGTGCATATTGAGTAGTCTACAACCACGGTAATGTTATTAACATTTTATTTGGGTATTATACTGACACTAGATTATTAGTAACTACTGATAAGAATTCTTTTGCCGATAATACTCACAGAGGTCTGAGATATTATATATAAATATATAGTAAATACAACTGACAAGTCACCAATTCACCACTTGTACCAGTCACCAGATGTCTAGCCTCAGCACTAAATACATTAAATTTAATCCATTTGTGGTTCCAGTTTTGAAACCTTATCAAAAATTGTCCTAGTTTTTAGTCCTTTCATTTTACAATTTGACCTATAAATTTAAAATAATTAAATACTATTGTTTTTGAACTCAGAAAATATGGTAAGTGATTAAATTTCAAAATAATAATTTACCACTTATTTTTTGAACCAACTTTAAACTTTGAATTTATTACTTACTTATTTTATGTACAATTAGGAAAGTCATATTCCAATTGAAATCCATGCTCAAAAACTAAGCGAATGGTTAACGAGCAGAAAACACTGTAAAAAAGATTGGCATTCACACATACAACCCATAAGACAAAAAATCAATGAAGCTATACAAGATATGCCTGAAAACAATGAGATTGTACAATTATTGGCTGGGACATGTAAGTACTTAAACTTAGGTTTTTGTAAATCATACATAATTATTTATACATTTTGTTAAATTTTATTTTAGATATTAATTATTTCTACTGTAAACGTATAATTGAAATATTAAGAGAAACTGAAGCAGATACAAAAAATTTGTTTGGTTCTTATGGCTCGCAAAGGATGAAGGATTGGTTAGAAATCGAAAAGTTGTATTTAAAAGACAATGTTTACCTGGCTGAGGCTTGTGATCTTCTTGTACAAAATATCAAGTTTCATATACCTGCAGTCAAGAAGCAAATCGCTAAATTACAGTCTGAACAAACTGTAAATTATTACAATTATAAATATGATATTTTAATGATTATAATTAACAAGCTAATAATAGATATTATATAGGACTGTGATAAAAAGATTGAAGATTACACTAAATCTATTCAAACATCTAAAAAAGATTTGGAAACATTGCGGAAACAGTTCTCTATAGTTGATGATAACTGTAGTTTTAAACGCACTCTTATAGGACGATTATGCGAACTTCAAAAAGTTTATGATGATGTTATAGAACATGTGAAAAATTTAAAAAAAGCCAATACATATTTTTCTTTATTTGTTGCAAATATTCTTGGTTCAGACATAAAATTAACAATGCTTCAATATATTTTAAGTAATTTTGTTTTCTTTTTATCAGTTTAATCATGATATTAAAATAGTTTATACTTTCAGACAATGGAAATTCTACTTATTATGAATATCTATACGGAGAAAAACCAAGTAAAATAGAAGAGCCTGTATTAACAATCGAAGAAGATGTTAAAGTATGCAATTTTGTGTTTGTATATATATATATATGTAGAGAATAAGATTTTAAGAGTATTGATTTTATAGGATACAACTGATGATGAAGAAATTGATTGGGGTGATTTGGAGAATCCATCTGAGGTTTGCATTTGTTTGAATTAATTTTGTCTTTATTTTTTAATATAAATATTTAATTTTTGTGTATGTAGGACATTGATTATGGTATTTCTCTAGAAGAAAGTGGAATAGTAGTTGAAAATGTACAAACTGATGGCAGCATTGCCAGAGGCAATGAAGCTTTGACTTTATTAGATAATTTTAAAACAAAAAATGAATTTATGAATGATATTTTAGAAGTAAGATATAACAAATTATAAAATTTTTGTCATGTAGAAAAATTATATTGTTACCATCGTATTATAGTTAGAATCATTTTTAAGTATGCGATTACTTGAATTATCAAATGAAACAAACTCTACATTATCAGTCTATTCTAGTGAAGAAATTAATGAATCTAAACCTGAGATTGCGTCCATGTTGGACATTATTAAAGTAGTAAAACAAAAGCTGAATGATCCAGTTGTGCAACATTTACAGCAAATTAAACATTCACCAAGGTAAATTTAATATACTATCAAGGCCGTATTTGTGGGATATGTTATTGCCCTCGAGTGACAATTTTTCTAAATAATGGTATATTAACATAAATGACTTACGTCGTTTAAACATCTAAATTAATATCTTACCATCAATTTTTATAAAAATAATGTAATAAAAGAATTTCCAACTAAAGAAAAATAATAATCTTTATTCATTGTTTTTAAATATAATTTTATCACAAAAATTATTTTTAAAACTAAATAATTTTTTTTACTCATAGATGAGGAATTTTAAATAGGATTCTGTTTATTTTTCTCTGTATTTAATTTTAATTTTAATATATATATTATAATTTGTTTTAATGCCATCAGATATTTAAATAAACTGGAGTCAATGTTTCTTCAAAAAATCAACAATATTGAGAAAATGGTTAATTCTCAAATAGCTGTTTCTAATAAAAAAAAAGAGTTAGCTGAAGAATATAATCAACTGGCTCCAAAGCTGAAGTTGATTCAACAAAAAAATAAGCAACTAATAACTGAAGTAATTTTTTTAATTAAATAGTTATTTCTTTAACACATTTTAATAAACTATTCTATGTATACTTATTTCAGATTGAATTTGATATATCAAAAAAATATAAAAACCGTCCAGTGTACATAATTGGAACATCAATTTTTGGATCATAATAAAATTAAATCAGTAAAACAACTACAAGTTGTAAGGTGACGTGGTTACATACATGGTTCAGCTATTTACATTATACAATTAGTAAGACAAATTTAAATGGAAATTATTTTTTTTTATGTTTATTGTTCATAATAAAGTATTTTATTTTTTATATACCAAGTACATTATTATAATTATGCTAAAATTCATACTTAGAAACATTAAATAAATATATAAATTCTATGTACTAAATGAACAAAGGAAACACAAATGATGTTCACAAATATTTAATACACAGTATAAAAACAAAATTGTGAATTATACACATCTTATTATCATCAAGAAAGGTTGTTTTCAAAATAAAGAAGAGAAGTTGAATCACTAATACTTCATGATCCTCTGTAAAAAAATATTTAAAATAAATTAATGAAATATAATCAAAGTGTTTAACAATAATAAGTATTATTATATATTAATAATTACAAAATAGATAAACATATCTAATTAAAACAAATAATTATTTATATTATCTTTGTTAGTATAAAATAAATTTTTAATTTTCATACATTCATTGAAATAAAGTTTTATTTATTTTATTTTTTGCTTTTTTCAGATCAATAATTCAGATTATGTTACAATAATTATAATTATAATTTAAAATAAATTACAATGAATCGATAGTTAATTGAATAAAAAAAAAAAATTAAATACATTGATTTGTGATAAAAATTTAGTTCTATTTTATTGATTATTGTAAATAGTATGAAAACATATAATTCCTAAAAATGCGAGAAAACCTTAATAAAGCCTATCTAATTTATGTCAATTATTATATAAATATATATTAAGAGTATGTGATGCACACATATGTTCTCTATTTTCCAACGTACAACTTAAAAAATTTGAGTTAAGACTTCAATAAAATTCTGTTTGTGTTATTAGTTATATTATTAAAGAGAATCAGCCTATACATTTAAAGGCAAAAATATCTGTATTCTTTTCCTTGGGAATACATTTTAAGTAAGATCACTTCAATATTTTATATAATAAAAAGTAAAAAGTTGCTTAAAAAAGATAAAAAAACAAAGAGAACATTGATAATATTTTCATTCTGAAATTTGATAATTGGTCAATATAGTATTTAAATCAAAAATAAATTCTGCTGTACGCAAAATTGCTGTTGTACATTAGTAGAACGAATATGACACAGCAATACATGCAAGTATTTAAAAGTAACATAATTGAATAGTGAAATAATGTTAAATATTTTTATTATCTAATACATGAAATCAAATGGTCAATATTAATAATAAATTATTGCTGATATGCTACTTTTTTTAAACTCAATAATAGAAAAACCCACAATAATGTAAAATTAACAGTGAACAATTATTCGAAGATGAAGTAATACTTACACAATGATGTTGTTGATGGGTATGTGAATAAGTTTGACAAAGAAACCAATGAAACCCATAATACAAAAACCAATGGCCGTAGCAATTGCGATTTTTTGAAACTCTGCAAAACAAAAGTTAGTTACACAAATGACAAAACGCAATTTTTATTCCATTCAATTGCGTTTACCTTTCCGGTCAGGTTTAGTACATCTTTTAACCAGTCTAACTGAATCCTTGGAAAACTGGCGTCCAGGTTCCAACACTTTTGTTACTTGATCCATATTTTTTTAAGCGTGTTCTCTGTGGATTAAATAAAACTTCTGTTAGTTTACCCGACAATAATTTTATACACGAATTTAATATACTTAAGAGAACAATGGATGACAGCACTAAAAACTTCGAGAAGTGAAATGTAAATAAATGGGGTCGTTACACGAAGAGTTTTCAATGTAATATGATGTGCTACGTTGGTGGTTGGTCCGGTTGGTCGTTCAACATTAGCTGTTGGATGCTACCTATTTATGAGTAGTGACACGTTTTGATTGTTATTATCAATAACGGTGTACGTAAACATGAGATCGATGCAACGTCATCGGTAAAGTTGGAACCCTAAAAAACCAAGGACTACTGATATGTAATTTGCGGCTAAACGTTTGTAACTTCCTTGGATCGCATAGAACTGAATGCTGATACACCGCCCAGCTGTACCAGCAGCTCAAGCTCTCCTAATTCCCAGGTCATAATAATAATTATCACCATTCCGGAAACCTGTTCGACTGCCACCACCGCCGCCTTCGGATAATAATAATGATTGATTGTCAATAAATAATTGACACCAGTTGGCTGGTTAAGTTTTTGCTCTGCATTTTCTGTCGTGTTTATATGGTTTTCCTAAGCCAGAAAAACGAATTTACAATTAAGAAGACCGATTACACGACAAATTCTTACAGGACTAGCATGCGCGGTGGCCAATAAACAATAATGGCTTTTCTGTGTCCCGTGAGAATACGCCGAGGCAAGAAGAAAAAAAGTATGATGAACAACAACAATTAACCCATTCTACCCTTTAACCATCACCACTTATAACATAATCATTCCTCTCTACTGGGGGCCCTTTGGCTTATTTTTCTTAGTATATTCATCCAACTATGTTTTAATTGCTGTTTGCAGGTGGTTCTACTAGCGACTTGGACAAAGAGGTGTTAAGAGGAACCAATGCTAATGGACCGGTTCCTGGTATGGGGCGTATTACTGGTAGCGCATCCATTGAAACACTGGTGCGTGTTGGGATTGAAAAAGAAAATGGTTTGTCGCCTGATAGCAAAATGGTTGTACTTCACGATTTTACACCTTGCGTCGATGATGAGCTAACTGTTAAACGAGGCCAGGTTAGAATATCAACTATACATAACAAGTTTAATGACATACACAACTTATTCTAAAGAATATTTGAGGACCAATGACTACATATTTAGCTTGTATTAAGTTGATTAATAAACATTAAATATTGTGTATTTCTGATTTGTAAAGTAGGTAGGTAGGTAACACTAGCTTAAATAATTATAGCAATTAAATGCTTTATTAGTTTAATTATTTTTCTGATCTCATTAGTTAACTACCTACTCATTTTGGATTTTGAAACATCATCTATTTTATTCTTACATGAACATTTTCAAGTTCAATCATGTTTATTAGCATAACATATTAATTTTATCAATTGTGTATTTATTTAATTTTATAAGATTAAAATTAATTTTTTTGATTTAATAATACAGTGCTATAATAATAAAAATAATTTGTATTCATGATATTGGTAATCATAGTACCTACTTATTAGTTATTTTAAATTATATTATGTACAATTTATTTTGAACTCAAAAATTCAAATTAAATAACTAATAAGTATTAATGGATTTTTAGATTTAATTTAAAATATGCAGTAAAACATTATATTTATAATTATTTTTTCATAATTTCTTTAAAAAAAAACTTATTTATTATTTGCTAGGTGGTCAACATCCTATATCGAGAAAATGACTGGGTATATGTAATTGCAGAAGATAGTCGTCAAGAAGGTTTTATACCTCATTCATATTGTACACCTTACAATTCACAACTTGGTGAAATAGCTTTAAATAATGTTAAAAAGAAATTACCACGTGCACCAGCTGCCACACCAACTGAAACTGTTGTTGAAGTTGAAATCAGTGAGCAACAAAAACATGGTTTGTATAACTAATCAGCATTTTAAATATTGTTTAAAAATAATTTATTATTTTTATATTTATTTAATTGTTTTGTTAGGTAATTGTGGTGATTTATCTGATTGTGAAAGTTTTGGAAATAAAAATCAAAACAAACAAAACATTAGTAGCTCTAGAGCATCTTTATTAAGTGCGTCTTCACATCCTGAGATTCGGCCTTTTTTTAAAGTAATTATTAAATGGAATCTATTTTGATCTAAGCATAAAAATATTTTGATCATTTGGAAATTAGTAAATCTAAGAATACAATCTTTTGTAACATAGTATTGCTGAGAAATACAAAAATTAATATTCTAGTAACTTGGCATAATTAAATTTAATGTGTTATACTGTTTTTGATAAACATTTAGGATCCTGCAGGGCGTTACATTGTGTTATACACTTTCATAGCAAGAGATGAAAATGATGTTAGTGTTGAGAGAGGAGAATTTGTGACTGTATTAAACAGAGAAGACCCTGATTGGTATTGGATTATTCGTAGTGATGGACAGGAAGGTTTTGTTCCTAGTGGGTTTGTATACCCAGCTGATATAATACAAGGTACATAATTTAATTAATATTTATAAATTATGGTGTTTTGTGTTGCAATATTATAATAGTCTTTTTTGTATAGGTCATATAAATCAAATGAATAATAATCAGTGCGCTGGTACTACTAATACTGGACTACCTCCAGTTACACGAGCACGGCCCCGTAAAAACTCTTGTGTGGCTGATGATGATCCAGCAATTCATGGTACTGAAATGGTAATGCTTTATGATTATAAGGTATGTTTTAATTCATTATTTTTTAAACTAACATTTGGTTTGCTTAATTCTTATCAATGGTTAATTTTTTGTAGCCTCAAGCCCCAGATGATCTGTCAGTTAAGCGTGGTGAATGGATATATGCAGACCTTGACAATCAAATGGTCGAAGGGTGGTTATGGACCTATGCTCCCAAAACAAGAAAATATGGTTTCATACCTAAAGCATATGCTCATCCGCCTGCTATGACCAGTTTGTGAATATATTACAGCTGATATTGTTGGCTAATATCTGTATAAAAGTACTATTTTAAGTATCAAATAAGAACCCAATAATATTATGTAAGCTGAACATAACTTCTTTATTTCTGTTTACTATTCTTCTTATAACTTCGATGATCTTTTAAAACTAATAACTGTGATATTTTGTAGGATAATGGGATTGGTAATAATAAAATATTTAGACAAATGAATATAGTTTCATAACAATAGGATTCTTAATTTTTTATAATATTACCATAATAAACTATGAATTTATTGTTTGGAAGAATGAAAATAAAATTTAGCTCATGAGTTAGATTTATATTTAAAACTAAAATTATTTAAATTTCAGTTAATCTTGTCTCAATAAGTAACTTAAACCTTAAATACTCTTTGTGAAAGACTCTTGAATAATATGCATTAATTGTGACTTATAAAATAAGTTGGATATTAGGAAGAATTATTGAAAAGCAATATTCAAAATATTTCACTTTCTTTTATTTAAAAATATTCAATTTAATGGTGGTGATGTATATGGATTAAATATGTCAATAAAAAAAAAGGTCAGAATTATGATTTTTACTCTTTTTCAATGGCGGCATAAGTAATTTTTTGAAGACCGTTATTAATTACTCCATCAAAAAATATCTTAACAAGATTTGAATTATCAGAATTTTACTGTCTAAAAATACAGAAGCAATTTTAATTTAAATGTCTTAAAAAACTAAAACAAAAGCTGTTTTTTATTTTCAAAGTTTATATGTTAGTTTTATTAATTAAAAATACTAAGCTGAATTAATGCTTATAATTCAATTAAGTTTTTGCCTCTATTTTATTTAAAAAATAAACATTACTATTAAAGAAATTATTCAAATAAGATGGTGCATAGTTATTAATTTTTTTTTTTTTGTTTTAATGATACACTTTTAATGAAAAAAGTTATGATTTTGTAGAATCAAAAATAATATTTTATTAATTTAGTTGTATAAAAAAAAAATATTTAATAATTATCAATGTGATATTTTATTGTTTAATCAAAATTATAGAAAGTTAATGTCAAAGCAATAACAATGAAATTTAATATTTATGTGACAAGATCTTAAATTATAATTAATTTGATATTTTTTCACTATGTTTAAAACTTTATATTATATATTTTTAGTTTTAATATGGGTTTTCTAATGAATACAATTGTTTTTGTACATAATCAATGTTGGAAATATTTATTGTATTAGGCTATTCATTAGAGTTAATAGTTATAAGTTATTTTATGTTATATTATTATATAAAACTAAGTATTTTAGAACGTGTAGGCAATTTGTATCAATTATCTGGTTAAATGTATTTTTAATTGTTTTTGAAGTATAAATACATATATGTATCTGTGATGATTTATAGTCCACAACAGTCAATTTTATTAGAAACAAATTTGTAACTTAAGTTTAAAAAAAGTTGTGGTTAATATGTTCAAATCCGTCCATTTTGATGTTGTGCCATACTGCCATTGTACTTTAATAGTTTAATAAGACTGTATTTCTCTAAATCATTTTTATATTAATATAATTGACATTAATTTACAATTTTATTATTAAGTGAAAAAATTATTTTGGTTGTCAAGCACAAAAACTATGTAAAAATTATTTGTATATATTTTTATAACCAATAGCATTATTAACATCATAATTAGCTGACAGTGTTAAGTATTTTATAAATTGTAACTGTTCGTATGGTTTGGTGATTTAAATAATTGGATGTTACAAATAGCTAGAAATGTAAAGCATTCCTCATTTATGCATTGACATATGATCAGAGGAGTTGTATTTTTTATACTTATAACATAATTTTCAAATACTTGAATTTTTTTTTTATAAAATATTTAATTAAAAAAAATTTACAAGAATATATTATGCAATTTTTATTTAAAATTTGTGTCTTATTAATTATCCTCAAATGTACAGTCAGTGAACTTCAATGTTTGTCTTCAAATAGAAACGTAGATAAGTGTCAAGATTGGAAAAAAATGTCTGTATTTGTGACTGACCTAGTGGGTCGATCAATCGTTGATAATAAAATTGAAACAAAATCTAACATATTAACTCTGTTGATTCGTGCGGCATCAGGTGTTGTCGGACACGGCACCAATGCTCTAAAAACTCTTATAGTAAACGGATTGGTGCTTCTAACGCAAATTGTAAGTTATCTTTGTCTCATAGAATAACAATAGTGTTCTGTACAAATATAAATTTTTATGCATTATGTATAATCATTATTTAGGTTCTAACTGTTTCTGATTACGGAACAACAAATTATAGAACTACTAGCCAAAAAAATATTTTTCCTGATGGTCGACCAATCGACTGGGTTATGAATAATCCATATGTATGAACATTATATTAATTATTTTGCATGTATACAAAAAAATTATACCCAATATATTAAATCGCTTATAGTGTAGTTGCACTGGGTGACGCAACTAGGGATGGTAACATAGTAGCACCTTCAGTCTCTCAAATGGTTACAAATTTTCAGTTGATTTATATTTACACACACGTTTTGGGGCTTTGCTTTCAGCTAGTCGGCTTTTTGATAATTTCATTGCTTAAATACTTTCAACAGTTCCATTGTTTCGTTTCCAGTTGCGTCTATTGTCTGCTTGCTGTAATATTGTAGGTTCCTTTAAATTGTAACATATTTAACTCGATTTCAGATTAAATCTATGATGAATGATGCAACCGACGAAACGTTACCAGAACTATTGATCGAACAATTAGCGTCGGGTATGCCGTGTGTTCAGTTACTGCTTTGTCGTCTATCACCAATCATACACTACATGCAGCGTCAGGTGAAGGAGAATAGCCACGGTCCACCTCATAAACGGCTTTCGTGGGATGTATCTGACTGGCAGCAAGTCAAAAAGAATGCAAAGCATTGCGTTGAAAAACATAATGACTGTGCAAAAATTATGAAACTGAATTCGTCTAGATGATGCTAGTCATATAGTATTTATAATATCGTCAAACTTATTGTCGTCTACGTGACGACATTTCTGTTCAAAATCCAGTTTTTACTTTATAAAAATATTATTGATCATATTATAATATATTAAAAAATAACTATATTTTACTGAGTGTAAATATTCATTCTAAATAATAATATACCTATAACGGCATATTTTAAGGGGAATGGAAATTTGCTTTGGGCAGAACATTTTAAATTATTTTTAATTCGATACATAATTTTATAAATTATATTAAAATTGCAGGTGTTCTAGACTAGTAGAATAATTATGTATAGCTTTTATAATATTTCTGGAGACGTGGCCAAAATGGTGAAAAAATCATAAAAGTCATATAAAGTTTAAAGCCTTTGTATAGACTTTTAGTTAAAAGGCCGTAAGTTTATGTGTAGACAATTCTGAATATAGCATAATGTATTGCTTTGGGTATATTCTATGTATAAGTATTAAGTATAATAAGTATATAATAACATAATTAACAAGTGTGTCAATAGGACATGTATATGTTGTTGCCTAAATAGCGGTCAGATTATGGGCTATATTATACGCATAAACTTTTTTAATTATACATTTTAATGTTGTTATACTGAGTGATTTATTTAACATAAGACATTCATTAGTCGTTAAAAAATCTACTTTTTTATCTTTATCATTTTTTAAAGACAATGTACGTTATTAATTCCTTATTCCAAAGTAGAAATTATTTAAATTATTCGGTTACATAAAAATTGATTTGATGATTATATAGTAAGTAGTTTATTAGTTATAAGTTATAACTTACAACCGTTACAAGTATTTATAACTAATAAACTAATTGTCTGAAATTTGATTTTTATAAATTTAAATAATCCTATAATGATTTCGCTTCGGAATTTGAAATTTAAAATGTATATTATTATTTAAAAGAGTAAAATTTAAAAATGATAATGGTAAAAAATTACTAAAGAAATATTTTCAAAAACCTTTGTGTTTTCTGAAATAATGAATGGTCTCACATTAAATAGAATAGATTACCCAGTATTGTATAATATTAAGCGAGTATGCGTATTTATTATAAAACCGTCATGTATACGTTGTTTTTTTGAACAGTATATAATTATAATTTATTTAAAAAAGTAGGTAATCCAATACATGACCCTTAATATTTTAGTATTAATTTATTATACATTTATTTAATTTATAGTATAAAATATTTACTTTTGAATCTTTTTAGTGGATTTTGTTTGTTATTGATGTATGTGGATTTAGCGCGTATAATAATTTAGATAGCACCTACGTTCTACACTTTATATAGATATATACATGTGTATATATAAGCTAAAAACCATTTTCAGAGGTCAATTTCATGCTGTATACTCCTTGACTTTGTCCAATTGGTTTGAAAATTCTGCTGATATTTTGCAAATTAATTGTTTTTAGAATATTATGGTGAATTATATACGTTTTTACCAGTTTTCAAAAATGGTTTTTACTTCATGATATTTTAATGATTTATTTTTAAATTCTAAACACTAATTTTCAATTATACACAGATATATAGGTATCGTGTATTCGTGTACCTATATAATATATATATTTATATATGCACTGAGTAACTGAATCTGCTATAGTGATATTTTATTAGAGCTGATAACATATAACGGTATTATTGAGTGGGGGTATGACTATAAGATTCCGGTTTGCAAAAAAATAAAAGCATAATATATTATGACGTGCACTTGATATACCTAGATAACAGAACATACCAATAATATAATATTTTTACGATTTGTAAGGACGTATATAATACGTCGTATTGTCGACCGTTGCCATTTTCCTATATTATTAAATTAAGAAATTGTCAAAATTATTAATTTGAATAGAAACCTAATTTTTTAGTATACGTAGCATACAAATTAAAATATTACACACAAATTATCTTAAATTTTTTAATCATCTATAAGTTTATTATTAAATTAACAGTGCATATAATATACTTATATTGTATAAAAAAACAAATTAAATAATTCGTGTCATAATTCCAATCATAAAATAAATAAAATCAATAATTTTAATATTTTATAAATCAATATAATTATTATCGTAGTACGAGGAGGAAAATAATCTTAATTTTAGTTCTAATTTTTTTCTTTTTTTTTTAATACTCGTCCATAAAAATATACTTTTTTGGGGTGTAAATTGTAAAATAAAGCCATGTGTGGGAATGTGGAATCTATCCACCCCGAAAATACGCTATTGAATACTAATTATTTGATTAATTCATGGTAAAATTGATGGTCTATGAATCCGCGACTCCTTGAGCAAGTAAGTCTTAGAGTTTTTACTGCCAACACTAGATTCACTGAGTCCTTCCACATCCCAACTTTCTGTTCAAACATTTTATCCAATGATTCTTTTATTAGAATTATACGCAGTTTAAATGATAATAATGTTGATATATGACCTTAAATTTTTGTAATTTTTTTGTGTTGTTATTTTTAATTAATATTTACTTTTATTATTAATATTTTGTTATCTACATTACTTATGTCATTTTATGTATAAAAAATATTATGTATAATCTTTTACTGTTTTTTGCAAAAAGCCGTTTGGCGTTTAAATAAATGAATAAATAAATCAATGTTGTAAAGATTTTTATTTCTAATGGTCAGAAAAAGGAATTATACTTTTAATACTTTATGGATAATATAGTTGAGCGACGTCCCTGGTTTTTCGGTTTTGTATGATAGAGCTGGTATTAAACATTTATTTATGCTTTTATATTATATTTGTTTGAAACCGTTCCAAATCTTGATTAATTCCTGACTACGCCACTTATGATAAGCGGCGCCATTTATAAAATTGAGGTCTCTTATGACGCGGTTGCTATAAAAAAAATATACATCGTTTCCAATTAGTCTTTAAAAGGATGCTATATCCGCTGTTGTCTTTGTCTAACAATCGTACAACATGTAAGTGTTACATTTCTAATAATCTATTTTACTCTGTTATTTTTAAGATTAAAGTGAATTTACCTACTTTAAATTTTAAAGCTAAGATTATTATTTAGGACGTGTAGAGACATTTTATTGATAATACTTTTTAAAATGAGTTATGATCGTTTTAAAATTAATAAAAAATTTTAAAATTTTAAATGTTCATAATATGTTCTGTAATTAAAATTGGATTATTATGAAAGTATAATTTTACCATGTTGTACGTTTGTAAGACAGAAAAAATTCATATAAGCATAGTATATTCTTGATTTAAAATTTAGATTATAGAAATGTATTCATAATTTTATCATATTACTCATATAAGCATTTTATTAAAAATATAGTAGTAGTAGGTAGTAGGTTCTCTAATATCCAGATATATTTTTTATTGAATCAAATGGATTATGAAAATAACTATATGTAGCGGAAAATTTCTAAAACATAAATGTATAGTATTTATTTGTTTATTTTTTTATTACAAGTAAAGTTTGGATTTACATACCTCCTATGAACTTAAAGTTTGTGTTGGAGGCAGAAAGTTACTACATTTTCACACAGATAATATACAATCTGGTAATTTTTTATAACATCATGTCCATTAATTATTTAATTACATAGTTCTATTAAAACAGAAAAAAACAAAGAAAAAGTTCATAATTTAATATGAAAACAAACTTCCACATAAATGAAATAATAATAAATTTAAATGATACAACTTTGAAGCAATCGAATGTGCCTAAGTATAACAATTCAACAATTTACTTTACTATACAGATATAATATTAAAACACATTATTATTCAATTTTAAAAATATGTATTTATTTAATATATATCAAGTCTTTAATATTAATTACTTTACTTGTTATAATATTTCTTTTAAAATCAAAAGGTATAGAATTATAATAAGTCGAAAATATAAATTATTATATTTGTTTTTTTTTTAAAAGAGATCATAACTTGAGCTTATAACAATTTTTATTTATAATTAATGTAATGTAAACTTTTCTCTAAAAAAATATGTATATTATTACTAATAATTATAATTATATATTTAATATAATTTAGTAATTAGTTAGGTATATGAAAACAATAAATAAATAAAATATATTATTTTTATTTTTTATTTTTATTCCAGTTAGAGTGGTTTTGGATTTTTTTTAAATAATTAAATTATGATTTAATCAATGTTATTGCATAAGTACCATTAACTAAAGTAGATCTATAATTTTAGATTCTGAGGTAAGCGATGAATGTAAATATTGATTTTACAATTATACGTGTATTAATTTTTCTGTCATCATCACCTTTATAAGTAGTAAAATTATTATAATTTTATACTAAGAGTCAAAAAAAAAAAAAAATGGATCTAGTTGGTTTTTGGAGGGGTAAAAGTAACAAATTCACAGTGTTTTTTTTTTAAATAACCAGGAAAAACAAAAAAATAATTAACAAAAGACGAGAATTCTTTAAACCTACCTAATATAATGTCATGAGTATTTTACTGTTAATAGTTGATACTAATACTTGGCAGTACTTTCTATTCTTTCTACGCAAATGATGTATATTAAATTTAATAATATAGGTATATAATTAATAATTTAATGGATCCCTAAATCCTAATCCTTCGCGAAAATATAGTTATATAATTAACAGTCATTAAAATACAATTAAACAAATTTGTGCTTAATATTTAAATCTATTTCAAGTGTTTCAGATTTCTTGTTATGACATAATTAGGAATAATTTATATACTAGAAGTAACTAGTAAGTAGGGTTGTAGGTTATATAGGTTATTGGTGTATACAAAATGTAGAGTATCTATAATATAATAAAATATTAGTAAACAGTCTTCAAGTAATTACGTAGACAACGCAGAGATATTCTTGAATGATTTCTATGAATCGTAATAATAAAAGTATAATAGCAGGCATGTCGTAATTTAAATAATATAATAATATTATAATTATGTAGTAGGAACAATTCGTTTTCTGTAA